CGTCCCTGAGGCCTTCAAAACGCCCCGGGAACGCGCCAAGAGAACCCGAAGACGCCCCAAGACGGACCCAAGACACCCAAAGGCCGCTCCAAGATGCCCAAGATGGCCCCCAAGACACCTCCAAAGGCCTCGCAAACGCTCCTAAGCAGCTTCCGAGAGGCCCCCCAGGACGTCCCCAAGAGGCAAAGATTGCTTCATTCCCTTTTCAAACGTGTATGTTTAGCATATTACTGTTTTCGCTGTCGTACCGTTCTTGATGACATCAGAGGTCCCCAAGACCGCCCCAAGACGGCCCAAGAGGCGCCCCCGAGGGCCCCAAGACGGCCCAAAAGAGCCCCAGGACGGCCCAAGAGGCGCCCCAGACGGCCCAAACGGGGCCCCAAAGGCGCCCAAGAGAAGCCCAAGATTGGGAAATCCAAGCGACAATTTGAGCTTTCCGCCAAAAGAGGCGCCCGGGAGGCCCCAAGAGGCCCCGAATACGCCCCAAGATGCCTCCAAGAGGCCACCCAGACGCCGCAAGAAGGCCCCACGAGGACCCCCGCGAGAGCCCTGAGAGCCGAACACTGTTTATGTTCCGTAGATGTTCGAAGGATTTTGGTCATCTCGCCTTCTCGGGTTCCCGACGCTCGAAAACAGCCCAAGAGGCCCCCAAGATCGACCCGAGGAAGCCAGATTGATTTTGTTTCAGGCTGGCAGCCACGTCTGCCGGCGTGCCCTGCACCACCCTCCGTTGCAGGTGTTCATCCCAGGTAAAGTCCTGGGTTCAGAATGCGTCGAGGTTCAGTTTCATTGCTGGCGTTCGAATGTTCAGAAAGGGAATTGGTCGGCGCCTCAGTATGTGTGCCGTTCGCGCCAAGGCGGGTCAGGCTGCAATGCTGGCTTGCAGGTGACGTCCGCCTGCGGTCAGCCCAGTGAATTCTATGTATTTCTTTACTTTCAAGAGCTGGTCGCTCCACCTTGCGCGCACCTTTGGGCCCCACGAGGGACTCCAGAACGGAAGCCCGAACCGACCATTCGAGCTTTCTGCCCCAAGAAGCCCAGAAAAAACCCGGAAGAGGCCCACAAGACGCCACAAGAAGGCTCCAGGAGGACTCCCAACATAGCCCCGAGAGCCCAAATTCGTTGATTTTCTATGTGTCTTTTGAAGGACTTCGCCCTTCTGGCCTTGTCGGCTTCCCCAATCTCCATGCCGGCTCAACGGGTCAACAAGACCACCCCGAAACAGCCCGAGAAGCCCCCAAGAGAAGCCCAAATACGGCCAGGAGGGCCCCAAGACGGCCTACGAGCCGCCTCAGACGGCCCAGGAGGGCCCCAACACGGCCCCAAGAGAGGCCCAATATGGGGGAGCCCGAACCGACAATTGGAGCCTTCCACTTCAAGAGGCCTCCCAGGAGGGCCCAATATATTTCCAAGAGGCCCCGAGAGGCCCCAGGACGGCCGATGACGTTCGACGTACGCCGTACGACGAGATCCTCGCGGTTTGGTTGAAGTCCCTCAAGGAGCATCAGAAGAGGCAGTCGTCAGGTGGACCCTGGAGAGTCCTTCCGTAGCCGATGTCGGTTGAACTGTTCCTCCTCCCCTCCTGCTCCCCCTTCTCCTCCTCCCCCTCCTCCTCCGCCTCCCCTCTCGCTCCCATCGCCTTCTGTTCCTGCCCCTGCTGCGCTTACTCGTTTGGACCCAGGGAGGGGTCTAGGGATCCGCTACAGGAGACGACGACGACGACGACGACGACGACGACGACGACGACGACGACGACATGACGACGACGACGACGACGACGACGATGACGACGACGACGACGACGACGACGACGACGACGACGACGACGACGACGACGACGACGACGGCACGCCTCACCAGGCTCCTCAAGACGCCCCCAAACCCGTGCTCCCAGAAGGCCTTCTGGGAACCCGATTCATACGGCTTCCGCCCCCTAGACAACCATTTCTTCGAAGGCCTTTCGGAATGCAGATTGGCATGCGTGGACTGTGGTCCACTACTTCAGTGGAGCAGTGAATTCGTCAAGGCCTGGGGTCTGCTAGAACCTGAGCGCGCGCGAAGCGCGCGCGATGGTTCTAGTATATATATATATATATACACACACTGGGGCGTCAGGAAGCCAAATGCTTGTCGCCAGGGTATCCTGGGTTTCTTCGATCTGGGCGCTGCGCGGTGACTTCCGCGGCCGTTGAGAAGCTGGTGCGCTCAGGGTGCCCCAGGCTTCCCCCCAGTCGCCCCTCTCGCGTGGGTCTTCAGGGTTGGGTTTATTGCGAGGGTTTCTTGCGGCCGCGTCCGCTCTGTATGGCGTAACATGCATCTATGGTGTAATCTAGGTTGTGCAAGTGTTGCGGTGTGTGATCTATGTTGTGCAAATTATGTTGTGCAACTTCTGTGGTGCGCTAGGTTGCATAAACTATGTGGTGTGAGGCATGTGCTGTGAGTTATGTTGCGTGCGCTGTGTTGTGTAAGCTATTTGGAGTGAGATATGTGGTGTGACCTCTGTTGCGTAATATGCGTGGTGTGAGCCATGTGATGGGAAGTGAGCAGCGCAAGCTATGTGGTGCAGGCTACGCCTCTGTGATGTGAGCTATGTGGCGTAAGCGCGCGGGCGCCCACAGGGCGCCCACGAGCGGACACGGACGGGCGCCACAGCGGCGAAGCCTCGGGAAACTCTCCAACCGCACGGGGCCTCCCGCGGGGCGCCCACGAGTGGGCAACGGGCGCCAGCACGGCCACTCGTCGGGAAGCGTATCCAGCCCACAGGGCGCCCGCGAGGCGCCCACGCGCGGGCACGGGCGCCGACGCGGCGACTCCCTTGGAAGCCTGCCCAGCGCACAGGGCGCCCACGAGGCGCCCACGAGCGGGCACGACGCGCCAGCGAAGCGAAGCCTCGGGAAGCCCACCAAACGCAGGGGCCTCCCACGAGGCGCCCACGAGCGGGCACGGGTGCCACTTCGGCGAGAATCCGGGAACCCCATCCCATCCTTCAAGAAAGCCAAGCAATAGTTCCTAAGTGCGAGCACTGTGTCGGGAATGATTCTGAGCTCCGCGCGTATTTCTTGGATCGGCTCTGAGCCCCCCCCTGCCGGCGCCTCTGGCGCCGCCCCTGGTGCACTCCGTGCCAGGGGGGGGGTCCAGCGCCGATCCAGAGAAAGAATCCCCTTCGAGCTCCGATGGTTTTGTGGATGCAGTTTTCTTCCTCCGGAGGAGTCTGGGCACGACACACATGCCCAATGGTTAGCGTTGTAGCGCCGCGGAAATTCGAAGTCTCAAGTTTGGCATATGCATCCACGGCGGATCCGTATGGCCTGGGCAAGCCTATATTTTCCCCCTCTTGCCCAGGCCCTTTCTTCCTGCCTCGTCCTCTCATTTCCTTCATCCTGCGTCGTTATCATCCTCGCTCCTCGTTGTTCGTGCCCGTCTCGTCCACAACGCCGTTCCCCTCGTGATTTCCTTCTCCCTCTCCTCCTCCTCCTCCTCCTCCTCCTCCTCCTCCTCCTCCTCCTTGCTCCTCCTCCTTCCTCCTCCTCCTCCTCCTCCCCCCTCCTCACCCTCACTATTCGCCCCCTTTCCCTCCCCGTCCTCCTTCGCTGTGTTTATCCCACCTTCCTCCTCACACTCCTCCCCCTTTCCCTCCTCGTCCTGCTCCGCCCCCTCTTCCTCCATCCCTTTTCCTTCTGGCTAACTCCTCCCTGTCGCGCCCCCAGACGTGTCGGTAGAGCTGACCGGACGGTTATTTTGAGTTTTCCTCACCATTTATGGCTCTGAAGCTTGAAGCCTGCAACTGTTTCAAGGATGACTAGCGGGTGGTTTTCAGAATGTGGTTCTTGCCGATGCGCCGCGCACAGTCGTCTCAAAGTCTGCAGCTTCGAGGACGGAGGCCAGGTCGGGTTCAAAATGTGGTTCTCGCCGTAGCGCTGTACACATTCGTCTTGAAAGTTTGCAACAACTGCAAGGATGGAGGGCGGCTTCTTTTCAAACTTTGGTTGTCGCCTTCGCGCCGCGCACATTCGTTTCAAACGTCTGCAGCGTTTTGAAGGATGGGGGCGGTTCCTTTTCAACATGTGTTTCTCGCTTTAACACCGTGTACATTATTCGAACACCTTGCGACAGTTTCAAGGACTCGTAGTGCTGGAGTCCCAGGAATTGCGTTCTGGCGGGATTCAGGGTTGTCAGGACGCAACAGTCAGTGTTCTTGCGGGATTTAGGATTGCCAGGACGCACCGGTCACTTTGATCCGCGGTGTTGAATTCGCCGGAATTGTGCACTGGCACAAGTGAGGATTCTCAGACGGTTGTTTTGCAATGGAGTTTTTTACGTAAGATGCTTGTAGGGACTTGCGAAGATGGAACTTGGAGGGAGGGTTGATTGTAACATCGTTGACGCGTCTTGGACTCACACTGGTCCTCCTCCTCCTCCTCCTCCTCCTCCTCCGCCTCCTCCTCCTCCTCCTCCTCCTCCTCTTCCCCATCATCTGTATTCTCCTCTCCCTCCTGTCCTCCCCCGTCCACTCCTTTCTCCAGTCCTTCCTCAGCCCTCCCTCCTCCTCCCCCATGCTTCCCCTCGCGCTCCCCGCCGCCCCCCTCCTCCGCTCCGCCTCCCTTCCCGCGCGCCCCCTCCACCCGCCCAATCCCTCCCCCGCACCCTCCCGTTTCCATCTGTCTATGGGATGGTGAGTGAGTTAGGTTCCGTAGATCGAGATGGTTCGAACCAGCTATACCGAGTTGTGGAATCCATATGGAGCGTTGTGCTTGTAGCTCGGCTCCAGCGCGAATGACGCCCAGACGTCCCATCATGAGAGGACGACGAACGAGGAGGAGCAGGAGGGGGAGGAAGAGCAGGGGGAGGGGGAGGGGGAGGAGGAGGAGGGGGAGGAGGAGGAGGAGGAGGAGGAGGAGGAGGAGGAGGAGGAGGAGGAGGAGGAGGAGGAGGAGGAGGAGGGAGGACCCGCTCCACTTCTGCGGCCCCGCCCGCCGGCGCCCCCCCCCCTCCCTGCGCAGGGGCCCTCCCCCTCGACCGCGGAGCCCGGGAGCGGCCGCGCCCGCCCCCCCCAGCGCGGCCCAGGCGGCGTCCCCCGGTGGGAGGGCAGAAGTCTCGAGGGTTCGTCGTCGTCCTCTTCCTCCTCCTCCTCCTCCTCCTCCTCCTCCTCCTCCTTCTGCATCCTCCTCCTTCGCTGCCTCCTTCTGTGTCGCTGCGTCTCTCCCGCCTCTGCCTCCGCCTCCTCGCCCCCTCTCTCTCGTCCTCCGCGCTGGCGCTTGGCGAGCTTTGGGCCAGGGGCCGCGGCAGGAGTGCAGCGCTGTCGCCTCGCTTGCCAAGGGCTCCCTCGAGGGCGCGAAGTTATTCGCGCTTCGCGCTTCGCGGTCCTCGTTCCTTCTCCCCCTCCTCCTCGTCCTCCTATTCTCCCTTTGGGAGGGCGGCGCGAGAGCGCGAAGTTATTCGCGCTTCGCGCTTCGCGCAGCGCGAAGCGCGAAGTTGGGAGCCCTAGCTTGCGGCCTGGGCCGAGCCGGTGTGGGATGGCACGGCGCCAGAGAGCACCCTGGCGGCGGCCTGGCGCCGTCATCAGGCTCGGCTCACGGGCAAGGATTCTTGGAGCAAGCTCGCCGGGCCAGCGTCGACGTACATCTGTTCGGGGCTCGAGAGGCGGGGGTCCATGCAAGCGGGGGTCAGCCAGAGCGCCAGATCTTGCAGGATCCTGCAGGGCCAGGGTCGCATTGGCCTGGGCTTGGGTGCAGGATCCTGCATGATCTCGCAGGATCCTGAATGACCCGGGTCTGGATTCACCCGGGTCAGAAGATCCCCGAATTGTCGCCATGAGGAGGCTGGGATGGTCTTGGCCGGCGTGGCACGTCTTCGTGACGCGGGATGGGCCCGAGCTGGACCTTCGGCATTATTGTCCTGATGGGCCTGTTTTGTATCACCACCATGAGTTGGAGGGAGAGGGCGTCCTCCTCCTCCTCCTCCTCCTCCTCCTCCTCCTCCTCCTCCCCCTCCTCCTCGTCCTCCTCGTCCTTCACCTCCTTCCCCCCTCCAACTTATGGTGGTGGTGGTGGTGGTGGAAAACAGGCCCATATTTGTCCCGCTCACGCCCAGGCCATGGCGAGGCCCGCTCACGCCCAGACCATGGCGAGGACGGTGGTCGGAGTAGGTCGCTGTCGACCCAGCCCGCGCGCCGCTCCAGCCTGCCCCGTTCATCGACCCGGAGGAGGAGGAGGAGGAGGAGGAGGAGGAGATGAGGAGGAGGAGGAGGAGGAGGAGGAAGAGGAAGAGGAAGAAGAAGAGGAGGTGGAAGAGGGGGAGGAGGAGGAGTAGGAGGAGGAGGAGGAGGAGGAGGAGGAGGAGGAGGCCCAGGAGCAGGAGGAGGAGGAGGAGGAGGAGGAGGAGGAGCAGGAGCAGGAGGAGCAGGAGGAGCAGGAGGAGGAGTTCGTTCACGCGGCACCTGCGCCGGTGGCGCGGGGGCGCCTCCGCGGCGGCGCCGGCGGTGGCGCCCCCGTGCGGCTCGCGGCAGTACACGGGCGCTCGCGGCGCGGCGCAGGGCCGCGAGCATCGCCTGCGGCTCCCGCCGCGCTGGCAGCACGCCAGCCCGGCGCGCCCAGGTTTTGGATCCACGAGGTGCGGGGTCCAGTGTCGTTGAACCGATCCCCATCCCCATCTCCATTCCCTTCGAGACCCCCACCAGATTACCAACCATCCCAGTTGGGGATACACCCCTCGAAGCCCGAAGGGAACGACCTATATCCCCATCTAGGGGCGTAAATCGGCCAGTGGGGCCCAGGCCACGCCGCTGGGGATGGGGATCGTTTAAACGATACTCATAGATCCACGAGGTATGGGTGTAAGCAAGAGCACCAAGAGACAATATTGTGGCCTGATTTCGTTTGCCTTTGTAGCCAGTGCATCGCGCAGCGCGTTGCCCACGCGTTCAGCCCCGTTCCCCCTTCCGCGGTGGAAGTCGGAAGACATGTGTTGCGTGCGTCAATGCGCACGTCTGGGAGCGCGGGCTCATTGGCCACCATGGGCTGCGGCACGTTTGGGAGCGCAGGACCCGTTCAAGAGCTGGGAATGCTCCAGCGGCGACGCGTGGGCGACAGGGGACGTGGGCACGGACGGCAGCCTGAAGGGCGGGCAGTGGCGCTGGCTCGGGCGAGCAGGTTGGGCGGTGGCGATGCTGGACTCAGACTCCATGGAGATCGCGGCAGCAGTGTGGGGCCCCCTGCCAGTCTCCCTCACCGCGCAGCGCACGGTTGCGAAGGAGGAGATGTAGGCGGTGGAGCGCACAGTGGTGCACGCGCTGCCGCCGCTCACGCTCCATATAGACCGACAGAGCACCCTTCACGGGGTCGCTGCGGGCCTAGCTTGGCGTGGGTGCGCGATCAGGCCGGACGCGGATCTCTGGCGGACTCTTTGGCGACGCATCGGCAACCTCGACATGGGCCAGCATGGCGCCCCAGCTCCGCAAGGCGAAGGCCCACAGCTCAGCGGCAGCCGCAGCGGCGCTGGACGGCCGCGAGCTGCTCACTGCTCGCGCCAATAGCGCGGCCGCCGGGCGGGCTGGGCAGGGCGCCGGAGAGGGCGGCAGCGGCTTCCTCGAGTTTATCCAAGGCGCTTGCTTGGAGGAGGCCGAGAAGGTGGAGTTCTGCTTGAGCTGCACTGCCGAGCTCACCGAGAGGGTCTGCGAGGCGGACGGCGCCTGGCCAGGCGTCGGGCAGGTGGCCAGGCCGGCCCTTCCTCGGCCCCCGCGGCTGCAGTTGGCCCCCGCGGCGACGGACGCGCACGTCCCAGTTCGCCGACGCGGTGGAGGTTGGGAGTGCGAAAGGGGCGGCGAGAGATCTGGGGCAGCGCGCGCGTTCCAGGACGAGCGCTCCGCGGGCCACGCGGCGGCGCGGCACGCTGGCAGCTGGGCAACGTGCGGGTCACCAGCCTAGGGCCATCTCCTGGTGCGTATGGCGGGGTTTGGTCTGGTGCCCCATGTGCGGGCGCAATGTCGAGCGCCGCCTGGACAAGCTGCGAGCAGTGTGCCCTGGCCGCCCGACGCAGCCATGGCAGCTCGCCAACCCGACAGCGGGGCGCGCTCCACAGGCCCGCGCGGCCGACCCGCCGATAGGTCGACCCGCCCCCCTGACGGAGGCCGACTCCGACTGGCTCGCGTGGGGTTCGCGAGACCTTGCGCCGACTGCGGCGGCAGGGCGCAGCAGCTGGGTGAGGGCTCTCGCGAGCGGGGCGCGCGGCCTGCCCGCGCGCGCTGGCCAGGGGGCGGCCCAGCGGCCAGCGCAGTTGCATAGTTTAGTGTTGTTGCACGGCGACGACCAGGCGTCAAGCGTTGAGCTTTGCACCACCTTTTCCTCTATCTCCTCCTTCTCCTCCTCCCCCTCCTCCTCCTCCTCCTCCTCCTCCTTCTCCTCCTCTACCTCCTCCTCCTCCTCCTCCTCCTCCTCCTCCTCCGCCTCCTCCTCCTCCTCCTCCTCCTCCTCCTCCTCATCCTCCTCCTCCTCCTCCGTCCTCCTCCCCCCCCCTCCCCCTCCCCCTCCCCCTCCTCCTCCATCCTTTTTCCCTTCTACACAACTCCTCCGTGTCGCACCTCCAGACGCGTCGGTAGGGCGGGCTAGGCGGTTCGCTGGGGACTTCTCACCAGCTTTGACCCTGAAGCTTGAAATCTGCAACCGCTTCAGGGCTACAGGGGGGCGGTTTCAAACGTGTGGCTCTCGGCCGCGCGCCGCGCACATTCGTCTTGCAAGGCTTAACAACTTCGAGGATGGAGGTCGCTCACTTTCAAGATGCGGCTCTCGCTTTTGTGTCGCGCACACTCGCTTTCCTTTGCTACAGCAAGTTCAAGGCCTCGTGCGGCCGATGTCCTCACGCCGTGCGTCCTTCGCCGCGCCGGCCCGTCTCACGACTGGCCGACGAAGGCAAGGTCGCGTGACGGCATTACGCGGCTTGGCAGGTGGGTCTCAGACATGAGTATGCAGAGGTGCGAGAAAAGCTTGCGGGTGATGGGAAGGCTGGACACCCTGCCTCGGGCTCGACAGCTGCTCCTGTCCGAGTCGGCCTACAACTTCGAGGCGGGGATCCATGTCAACCTCACCAAACTGTCTTAGAGAAGGCTCCGCCTTGTGGGCCCCCTCTGAGTGAACCTCTTTTCCGACAGTTTTTCTCGGGCAAGTAGGCCTCACGAAGGCTCTCCTCAAAAAAGGGCTGGACAGCTCAGTCTTGGGATGTTCACGATTCAAAGTAGCAGAACCTCCGAAAGAGAAACTCATCGCCAATTTTTGCACGTGACTCCTAGGGCCCAGTGGGTCCACTTAGGCACGCCTCGCAGTAGCTTTTCGACTGCTCCCCGGGGAAAACTCAGCAGCTTTTGGGGCCCTCTCGGGCCCAAAGGGCGACCTGGGGGCCTCTGTAACTGCTCAACTGCTGATGCGGCCAAATTAGCTTCTGGTAATCGTCTATTGCGTGCGTCGCTCCGCGTCATCTGAACTTGTACCAAACACAATGTGCCAGCTTCCGTCGAGAATCCGCGCTCCCCCTGGCTGTGGAGACAGCCGGCCATGGCTGCCTCTGAGAAGCAAGCGACAGTTGCAAATGCGGTGTGCTGTCGTTTTGGCACGCCGTGGCGGGCGCAAGGCAGCTTCGGTTGCTTGCTGGCAGCCCAGCTGTGTATGTTTCTTAGGGCCATTGCATGCCCAGTGCAATGTCCTCCTCTGTGATTATACTGGTAGAAAACATCAGGCCGTGGAAGGCAAGGCTCCCGAGCGCCAACTCTGGACCTTAGCTGCTGAGCCTTGTCCTCCGGATCTAGTCTCCCGATGGGCCCCTTGCGGCGACGATTGCAGGGGGCTCTCTGAGCATGAGAAAGAATGGGCCGCTTCAACCGCCAGGTCGCAGATATTGGTGGTCGTTGGCAATGGCCCAGTGCCACGCCTCGGCTGCAATCACAGAGAGAATATCTTAATCCGAGGAAGCGTGGGGCATGTAGCAGTCACAGAGCAGCGTGCAATGCTGAATGTTCCGTGCTGGCCCCAATCGCTGTTGTTCGAGTGGTTTGCGAGCCCAACCATTCCATTTCGCGCCCTCCTCAGTCAGCCAAAGTTGGTTTTGGTTTCGCCAGCAGTATCAGTCAGTGGCGAAGCGTCCTGGCGTGTCTGTAGGTCGACCAAACAATGTTCTACGAACCTTGGGTGGTTTCCGCGAATTCTTAGAACATTTCTGGTTGGGACCGTCTTGTTTTATCACCTCGGATTTGTTGTTCTAAGAACGAACCTAGATTTTGTTCTTAGAACATTTTTTCGGTTATAAGAAAATTTCGTGGTAGGCCTATGGGACTGCCGGGACGGTCGGTCCCTGCTCAACAACAGGCTGGCACGTGGTTTTGGCACTGGGCCAGCTGGCCCAATGTTCTCTCGCGCTGTGCCGCGCCTCCTCGGAGCCCAGCTGCAAACGCAGCGATGATATCCTGGCCCGAGGAGGAATGGAGCTTCCTCGTCCTCCTCTGCTATTTCCTCCTCCCTCCCTTCTGCTCCTCCGCCTCGTGCTCCTCCTACACGTTCTCCTCCTCCTCCTCCTCCTCCTCCTCCTCCTCCTCCTCCTCCTCCTCCTTATATATATATATATATGTTTATATATATGTATATATGTATATATATATATATATATATGTCCGTAGCCATTTTGGCTCAAGCCATTTTGGCTCAAGCCGGTCTCAAGCCCCCTGGTTGCCATTTGCCTCCGCTCATGGCCGGCCCGGGTGCAGCTGCTTGAGGTGATGGCGCGGGCGGGGTCGCCACTGGAGGGCGATCCCTTTGTGAAGAGGCGCTCGCGGGCCGAGCGCACGGCTGCGCGGCGGCGCGCGGTGGCTGCGGCAGACTCCGGCCTGGTGGCGGCCATGGCGCGCGTGCAGGAGCTGGGGAAGGCCTTCGACATGTTGGTCGGTGATGCTGGTGTCGCTGATCGAGTTCGGGCTCTTCTGCCAGCGCTCTCCGCGATGGCTCGCGGAGTGGAGCCTGCATGGCTGGACAGGCTCCGCCGAAACGTGGCCTCCATGCCGTCGCGCAGGGGGTTGAGTCGTTGGCGACGGCGGACGTGCGTACCCTGCGAGCTGCGCAGCACGGCCCTCGCTTGGGGCACGCTGCGCTGGCGGGGGCCCGCCCACGGCAGCGGCGGCCGCCCTCGGCAGGCGGCGAGGCGGCAGCCCCAACCGGTGGTGACGGGCCACGGGCGGAGGCTGCAGTCTTCGTCCCTGCGGGAAGCTGGGAGCCGCTGTCGCGGGGCATGCGCTGTACATGTGGAGCGGCGGTCTTCTCGGACTTCGGCGGCCCACCCTGCGGCTTTCCGCGATGCACGGGGGCGCCACGAGCGCCCAGGTACGACGTGGAGGGCGAACGGATATTCGAGGTCCCCATCACGCCCCTCGCGTGCTCGGCGCCGCCCCCCGAGCAGGAAGGCCAGAGCCTGAGGGACGCCGCGGCCGTGGAGGGTTGCGCCCCCCCCATGCTGCAAGCGGCGGTCCCAAGACAAGTGGATAAGACCAAGATGGCAGTGAAAGGCTGCGGCCTCTCGGATGGCCGTGAGAAGCCCGTCCTGCAGAGGGGCGACAGCGACGACCAGGTCACCGACGGCCTGTGCGTGCGGCTCGCGAACGTGATGGAGCATGCAGAAGTGCTACTTCGCAGGGCGCACGGTGAAGCGGCCGCAGTGCGCAGGCAGCTCCGCCGTGGTGGGGCGGAGGCGAAGGGGGCCTGGCGGCTGCTTCTTGGGCCTCGGATGTGCGACGCGCTGCGCGACACCGCCGCCCTCCGAGTGGCAGCGTTGCGGTACGACGCCGCTAATCTGTCGTACTTCGGCCCCAATATTAAAACGATCTCGGGCGAGCAGCTGGACACGGCAAACGTCCGAGACGCGGAGGAGCTCATCGGCGAGCTCGCTGGAGTCCGCGCGGCTTCCCACGCGGAGGCCACCGTGGCGCGGAGCGGCTGGGCTCGCCTGGGCGCCGCCCTCGCCCGCGCCTTCGGCGTGGAGGCGGTTGCGGGCGAGGCGGCGTGCAGTTCGGGACGCTGCCGCGGCCCGCGCGCCCCTGGGGACGCAGCGGCGGGCGCGGCGAGCGGGGGCTGAGCACGTCATGGACGCCGCATTCGGCCTGGAGGCGGACTTCCTGGCCCAGGTCGGCGTGGGCAGAGCCTGGGGTTAAACCCAGGTTCGGCCTACGCTAAGGAGGGATCCTGAGGGGTCCCGTGTCGTGAATTCGTCGTGCATGACCTTCTTAGGTCGAGTCTTGCCTCCTCCTCCTTATCCTCCTCCTCGTCCTCGTCCTCATCCTCCTCGTCGTCTTTCTCCTGCTCCTCCGTATCCTTCTCGACCTCCCCCTCCTCCTCATCCTCTCCCTCCTCATCTGTTTCTTCCGTCTTCTCTTCCTCCTCAGTTATCGTCTGTAATTCCCCTGAATCATGTTCCTCCTCCTCGATCTCCTCCTCCTCCTCGTCATCTATCTCCTCGATTACCCATAGATCCTATACAACGTATCTCCTTGACCTCCTCCTCCTCCTCCTCCTTCTGCTTGTCGTCGTCGTCGTCGTCCTCCTGCTCTTTCTCCTCTATATCCTCCTCCTCCTCGGCTTTGATGTTGCTGATTTATGGATGGGGGCTGGCCGCGCCGCTCTTCGGGCGACGGGAGGCCGCCTCAGGTCGAGTTTGTGGCGGTAGCGTGAAGCAGGCTACCCGTCAGCGGTTCGCGTGACCACTCCGAGTCTGGATGCCTCCGAGCTCGTGGCTCGACGCGCGCAGTCGCGCAGACGAGGGCGAGACCGATCTTACCTTCCTGCTCCTGTTCCTGCCTGCCCGTCTGCTTCTCCCCCCCTCAACCTCCTCCCCTCCAGAGTTTGGCCTCTTGTGGGGGCAGGCTCTCTGTTTCTTCTTCGTCCTTCTCCCGCTCCCCCCCTCCCCGTCCCCTCCTCGTCCTCTTCCCCGCTCCCCCTTCCCTCTCTCGTTTTCTCGCCCCTCCTCCTCCTCCTCTTCCTCGTCCTCGTCCTCTTCCTCCTCGTCCTCATCCTCCTCGCCCTCCTCCTCCTTCTCCTCCTCGATCGTTTTCTCCCTCGCTCCTGTTTCGCTATCCCTTGTCCTCCCCCTTCTCCCGCTCCCCGTCGGCCCGCGAAGAGAGTGCGTGCGCCGCCGCGAGCAGGTGGTTGCCATCCGCCGGGCAACGGCGCTGCAGAGTGCCAATGACCCACGACCCGCGCGCGGGAATCACCAACCGCGGGACCGAGGCGTTGCAGGAGTGAATTCGTGGAAAAGGGTGCACGCGGGGGGGAGAAGGAGGAGAGACCAGGGGACAAGGCGGAAAGGAGGAGGAGGAGGAGGATGAGGATGAGGGGGAGGAGGAGGATGAAAAGGCGGCGGAGGCGGAGGCGGAGGCGGAGGAGGAGGAGGAGGAGGAGGAGGAGGAGGAGGAGGAGGAGGACGACGAGGACGAGGAGGAGGAGGAGAAGGGGCGGAGGAGGAGGAGGAGGAGCAGGAGAAGGCGTCGGAGGCGGAGGCGAAGGCGCAGGAGGAGGAGGCGGAGGAGGAGGAGAGGAGGAGGAGGAGAAGGAGGAGGCGGAAGAGGAGGAGGAGGAGGAGGAGGCGGACGGGGAGGGCGGAGGAGGCGAGGGGAGGCGGGGGGAGGCGAGGGGAGGAGGAGGAGGAGGAGGAGGAGGAGGAGGAGGAGGAGGAGGAGGAGGGGGGGAGGAGGAGGAGGAGGAGGAGGAGAGAAGGAGAAGGAGGAGGCGGAAGAGGAGGAGGAGGAGGAGGAGGAGGAGGAGGAGGAGGAGGAGGAGGAGGAGAAGGGAGGAGGAGAAGGCGGCGGAGGCGGAGGAGGAGGCGGAGGCGCAGGAGGCGCAGGAGGAGGAGGAGTAAGAGGAGGAGGAGGCGGAGGAGGGGCCAACTCCTATATTTTCGCGCGGGTCGCCAAGATCCCATGTACCTGCAGTTTGTAGGCCTGAGCCACCATACCTGCCTTCTTGGGAGTGGCCGCTGTGTCAAGCGGTCGCAAGACCTGAGCAGGACGCGCGATGACGACTGGAACCCTGCGGCCAGCCCAACAGGTGGCGCTGGTCCTGGGTCCTGCCCCCTTTGGGGCGGCGGAGCCCCAAGGAAACCTCCCTGGAGACCCGTGGTCGAGGGAATGATCACGGGGACCGTGACCAATGTGTCGCGGGATCTTGTCGATGCCGGTCTTGGTCATGGTCCAGGTCGGCTGTCGCCGATTCGCGAGGAGGATCCACGAAACGACGTTGACTAAGGTCGACGGTGATCAAGATCGGCACGACGTTTCCGCGTGCAGTCTCGGTCATGGTCCCCGTCTTGATTCCTCCTTTCCGCACAGGGAGGGCCAGCGGTATCCAAGAAGCTTGCCCGCAGCGCTCAACGCCTCCCTGCGCCTCGACCCTCGAGGCCGGGCCCTGCGCCAGTGCACGCCCCCCCGTGGCCTCCAGAGGTGCGCTGGCGCCCGCGCTGGCGTCGAGCCCGCCGGCCCGCTGGGCGCAGCTTGCTCGGAGAGAGCGAGCGAGAAGTTTTGCCGAGGGGCGCCCTCGAGACGAGCGTCCTCGCTCCTCCATCCTCGAGCCTGGGCCCTCGAGGCTCGAGCCTCGGCCCTCGAGGATCGATCCTCGAGGTCGAGGGCGCAGCCTCGAGGCCCGAGCCTCGGCCCTCGAGGCGGGGTCCTCCCCCCCGGACGGCCCCGGGGTGCCTCCGGAGGTGCGGGTGGCGCCCTGGGAGCGCCCGGGGCACCCAGAGCCTCCCTCCCTCGGCCCTCGAGCAGCCGGCGTTCGGCCAGCGTGCTGCCGCCGCCGTCGTCCAGGCCGCGTGAAGTCGCCGTCGTCGCCGCCGCCGCCGCCGTCGTCGTCGCCGTCGCCGTCGTCGTTGCCGTCGTCGCCGTCGCCATCGTTGTCGTCGTCGTTGTCGTCGTCGTCGTCGCCGTCGCCGTCGCCGTCGCTCGACAGCGTCGCTCGACGTCGTCGTCGAGGCTGGCCTGGCCAGGTCGGCGACGAGCAAGGTCGAGCGCGGCTGGCTTCTTGCGCAGGGGAGGCAAGGAGGGGGGAGGACAAGGAGGAGGAGGAAGAGGAGAGAAAAAGAGGGATGAGAAGGAGGAAGAAGGACCATGGGAAACCCGAGACGCATCTGCGATGTTGCAGTAAACCCTTCCTCCGAGTTCCCTCTCCATCGGTCCCTTGAAGAATTTTGGTTACTTCTGGGAGGTGCTCCATTGAAGGAGCTGTCTGGGAACCGTCAATTGTGCCAGAACATCATTCCTGGGATTACAATGCCCCGAATCAGCGTGACGATTGCGTCCTGACAGTCCTCAGTCCTGCCAGGACGCCGTTCCTGGGAGTTCAACATCAAGGATCGAGGTGACAGTTGCTTATTGACAACCCTCAATCGTGCCAGAACGCCAATCCGAGGACTTCAATCTTACGCATCCTTGAAACTGCTGTAAACTGTTAAGAGGAATACGCGTGGCGCTAAGGCGATAGCCGCATTTTGAAAAGAAACCACCATCCATCATCGAAATTGCTGCGCAGTCTCAAAGTCAATGTGCGCGGCGCGAGGGCAAGCGTCGCAGTTTGAACGCCACTTGCCCTCCGTCCTTGCATGTGCTGCAAACTCTTCGGACGCACGGGCGCGGCGCCTGTGCGAGAGCCACAGCTTGGAGACGACCAGCCCTCCATCCCTGAAGCTGTTGCGCATGTCGAGTTCCAGGACCACGAATTGCGAGGAAGTCTCGGGCGAAACGCCCGGCCCGCCCCACCGACACGCTTGGATTCAGTCCGGCGTGTCCCTCTACAGGAGGAATAGATGACTGTTTTTGATCATTTGGGGGCATTTTTTTGCCATTTTGATTTTTCGTCCAAAATCCCCTGTAGGGGGACATGCCCGACCTAACGCTTGGAGTTGCAACAGGGAGGATCGCTTTGAAAGGAAACGAGGCTGATTCAGAGGACAAGGTGAGATGGGAGGAGGACTGAGGATAGCGGGAGGAGGAGGAGGAGGAGGAGGAGGAGGAGGAGGAGGAGGAGGAGCAGCACTGGGAGGGAAGGGGAGGGAGGAGAAAGGAGGGAGGCTTTCACCCGGCCGTCGCTAGAGTGAAGTCGGGCCTGTCCCTCTAGAGGAGGAATCTTCAGAAATAGTAGAAAATAGTATGGGGAGGACTATGTTTAGAGTATTTTGAAGATGTGTTGAATCTTTTTGTTGGCTATTTTTGATTTTGTTTCGCCCCAAATCCCCCTGTAGGGGGACAGGCCCGACCTAATACTAGAGGCGCCCCCGGCCCAAGGTGCGGTGCCCCAAGAATCCCACGGAGGCCCTTCCCACTAAACTGCCTTCCCTGCGCGGCGGGGGGCGCGGCTGGCACCAGGCCCTCCTTCGTCGCAAGCAACGCAATCTGATCTGCTTCGTCCCGCAGTTTTTCATCGGTTTCGGCCTCTGCCCGTCATCGGGCCCTGGGACAAACCAAAATGCACCCCGGGCTGAAAAAGAGCCCAGGGGGAGGGGGGCGGGCTTTGGGGCCACATGTGGGATACCATGCGTCGTCGGATGAATGGGTTGCGAACAGAGCGCGTTACATGCATGTATGTAGACATTGTATATGTATGTGTATGTATGTATGTATGTATGTATGTATGTATGTATGTATGTATGTATGTATGTATGTATGTATGTATGTATGTGTGTATGTGTGTGTATGTGTGTATGTGTGTATGTGTGTATGTGTGTATGTGTGTGTATGTATGTATGTATGTATGTATGTATGTATGTATGTATGTATGCGATACATACACACATATATCTATGCTATAACAACTCAATGTAACATGATATGGCGCAGTACAATGTAACACAGTATAGTTAACTAATATTGTATATATGTATACAATAGGGTACCATATAATACAACACAGCGCAAACTTATACTGTTTAACCTACGAAGGCACATCATAAGATGATGTATGCGATACTCGCTTAACATGATGCAATTTGATGTAATATGAGTTGATTTAGATAAACTATATAAGCATAACTATTTATATACGGATGCCATACATTAGTTGGTAAAGTAATACAACGTAATGAAGTGTCATGTCTTATATGGTAACGCGATAACATGTAAGATATCATAAAGCAGCGTTCGTGCGTTATCATATAGTTCCGTGTTTTACCATATCAGATGCTAGCATATAGCATACGGATGAACATGCAGTATACTATGATATAATGTAGTACCGGTGTATCATACAACATTGTACCATACTGCATAATATAACATGCCATACTATATTATACTATAAGTACAAAGGCAGAACGCAGTACACAATAATATAACATAGCATATCATAACTCACACATCTATATGTATGCAGAGTGAAGGGGACCGAACGGCCGTTCTCTGTCCCTGGGTGCGTGGCTCAAGTGTGATTCCGCGATGCGAGTTCTTGTTGTTGTTTTTCTTGTTGTTGTTTTTGTGTGTGTTGGTTTGTTTGTTAGTGTCTTTGTTTGTTTGTTGTTGTTTGGCGTCTTCCCCCCCGCGACCCGGCCCGTGACCCACCCACGACCCACCCCGCGACCCGCCCGCGACCCACCCACGACCCACCCTCGACCCACACCGCGACCCACCTGCGACCCCGCCAGCGACCCAGCCCGCGTCCCGCCCGCGACTCACCCCGCGACCCACCCCCGACCCACCCGCGACCCACCCGCGACCCACCCGCCACCCAGACCACGACCCACCCGCGACCCACCCGCGACCCACCCGCCGCCATCCACCCGCCACCCACCCGGCGACCCACCCACATTGCTTTAACGAAAAATCGGCGCCTTAGGCGGGCTCGTTCTATAATTTGTTAAAAAATAGGCGCCTGCGGCGGGCTTCTTGAGAGCCTCGCCAACTGCAGACGTCCCTGCCGGCCCCTCACTCTTATCCGCGACTGCGGGGTGCTACGTATCTATTCACACTCGATGTATACTGTTTTCTACCTCGGGGGCCCTCTACCAAGCTGTGGGATCGTCAACAAAACTGCCGATCGGGGTGAAAAGCTGGTCCCTGGGAAGAGGGCGAGACCTCTGGGGAGCCACGTTGCGAAGAAAATGCCAAGTCGGAGATCTCTTACGCTTCCTTGCCACCAAAGCCTTCTTAGAAGACCACTCCCATCGCGCCACCACTTTGTGGCTTCCGCCGATGTACGGTCAGCTCCAGGAAGGTCTTCACGAGCGCGAGCCTTCCCAGGAACTCACGACAGAAGAGGCAACTTTGGTCGTG